CAAACAAAAAACCCTGGTGTTGCAAAAAAAAAAGGAGAGAGAAAAAAAAAAAAAAAAAAAAAAAAAAAAAAAACTATAATCACACACACATTAAAAAAAAAAAAAACATCACCACAATGTCATAAAAAAAAAAAACACATTAATTTTTATTGCTTTATTTTTCCAAATCAATTTTATAAACCAAATCAATAATAATCAATTAATTTTTATTACTGTAAAACATAAACAACATTAAAATAACAATAATCTTGTATTTAGGAAACATAAAACACAGAATTATTGTTTTCAGATAATAATGAATCATACGGTGACCAAAATCCGCCGGGGAAAACCCGCCCAAAGATTTGTTAAGGTGGGGGGATGTGATATATCGAAGATATTGACCTGTCATTTGTGAACGGGACCAATAGTTTTTCATTTCTCCTTGAAAAAAAAAGAAGTCAAAAGTTCAAAGATAATAATAGAAATTGGCAATAGTTTTTGGCAGTTATCAACATCAATGAAATAATTCGCAGAAATAATTAATAAAGAACATTAATTATAATCACCAAACTGAAATAAAAGAGGCGAATTGATTGCATCAAAGTCACCCATCGTATTGAATTGTCAAAGGAATGTTATTGTAAACAAAATGTGACATGATCATCAACCGAATTAATAGCCAAATTTGGTTATTAAAATGATGATTGCAGTACGATTAATTGCCAAAAAGTGATTAAAACATTGACGGAAATTGTGATTAACCAATCACAATCGAGGCCATTGAATATCAGGAAATTATCAATTGGACGAAAGCCTAAAGACGAAGTTAAATCTTGGCAAACAAACATCTTGGAAAAAGTACGTCTTACGAAAATCTGGTATATAAAGACGCCCGAGAAGACGGAGAAAATCATCCTATTTTGAGAAGTTCTGATTGTAACAAACATCACGAACAACGCAATACTTTACAATTATTGATTCAACTTTTCATTTATTATTATCATTATTTTGTAAAAAATCATCTTGTATTATAATAAAATTCTTTATTATTATTTTAACTTGTGTAATTTTTGTTTATTTTCCAATAACGACTTCTTATTGTGCTTACCGGATACCTGATAAACTTCCGATTAACACATTGGGTCGAAATAAGTCGTAACCAGCGTCGAAATAGCTGTTTTGGTTCATCCGAAGAAATCTCTTATATGACAAGCCAGTAGGATCAAACAGATCGATTGGTTATAACTTGAAAATAAATAATAAAGAAGTAAGTTAAAATTTTAATTTAAATTTTAATCAAAACCTTCACGTGAATAACAAAATGAGTGATGGTAAGAATAACATCTCTGAAGAATCAATAAACAAGAAAATTGAAAAGTATCAGGAAGCGTTCAAAATACTGGATAACTTGATCAAGAAATTTCCAACTGATCCAACTAAGGAAGAACTTGAGATCCTGCAATTAAATATAGCAGATAATGAAGAAATTATCAAAGATGTAGCAGCCAATTTATCACAATGGGAAAAATTGAAGAAGAAAAATATTAAATTGCCAAGTTCAACATTGTTGATCAATATGATCGAGTCAATTAAAATCATGAAGCAAAGAATATCCAAATTCATGAACGAATTTAATGAATTGTTAGGAAGAGAAACAGAAATAACAGATGTTAAATTATCTGAAGTAAAGAATAACATGACGGAAAGATCAAGAAGATTGCAAGAAAATATGCAAATGGAAGATTTTATTAATCAATCAATTGGAACTAGTAGGAATCCAACAACAAGTGAATTATTTCCAAGACAAATTCAAGAACAAAATAAGTATCAAACATTTCCAAAATCAATCTTTTCGCATTCCACTCCTTATCAACCTGGGTCTGGAACAAGATTTGTAACGACACCAAATATCACGCCAGAACAAAGCCATGAAAAAACAGAAATAGCACAATTGAAAGAACAAGTAAGTCAATTGACGAATTTAATCCAGAACAATTTTGGATGGATGTCAGCACGGCAATTTGAACAACAACATCAATCTACATCTAATGCTGGAAATTACTGTCCACCTAGAATGCCAAATCGAGAACCTCCTATTGTTGACGCATGGTATAGACCAATGCAAATGCCACCAATAGATTATTCAAGAACATTCAAAATCAAAGAAGTTGATTATATTCCAAAATTTGATGGTAAAGCAAGAAATTTTAAATCGTTTATTAAAATGTTTTCACAAGTAGTCGGGGTAACGCCGATATCAGATGAATACAAAATAATGCTTTTGAAACAAAAACTGGATGAATACAGTCAAGGAATAATTCTGGGGGCTGAGGAATATAAAACAGCATATGCAAGACTTGTAAAAGAATATTGTGATCCAACTATAATTCAAGAAGATGTAATGAAAGAAATAGAAGCAATACCACCGTTAATGAATGTAATGGATAGCAAACAAATGAGGAAAAATCTTGGTATAATTCAACATCGTTATGAAGAATTAAAAAATGATCCAGTTCATCAACAGTTTTTGGAAAGAAATTTCTTCTTAGAAATTTGTAAGAAATTCCCACAAGTTATTGCTGATAGATCAAACGAATATACGGGAAGACCCGAAAGAATAAATCAATATTTAAAAGATGCAGAAATGTTTATTGATGGTTGGAGGTATATGAACAAGCAACCAGAAACAACAAAAAGTCGAATTAATAGAAATATTCGTTCAGAAACAATAATTATTGAAGAAATAGAACCAAATATCACAACAACAAATAGAAATAGAATACAAAGTACAACATTTACCAACAGATTTAATCAACAAAGAAATGTTAATAATGTGCAGAGGAATAACAGTAATAATCAAAACCAAAGAGCACCTTTTACTGGCAGATTTGGTCAACAAAGAAATGTTAATACAGCACCAAGGAATAACAGTAATAATCAAAACCGAAGAGCACCTTTTACTGGCAGATTTGGCCAACAAGGGAACGTTAACATAACATCAAGAGATAACAACAATTTACAAAATAATAATGAAACAAAGGTATGCAGAATTTGTGATCAACTACATTCATCACGTAATTGTCCATTAACAATTGAAGAAAGAAAACAAGAAATATTAAGAAAGAGGTTATGCTACAAATGTCTTAGTCATAATCATATAACTAAAGATTGTCCAATGAAAAAGGGATGTTACCAATGTGGAGGAAGCCACTCCTATTTAATTTGTTATGGAGAAAGCATACCCACAAGAAATTTTCAAAACAATCAGCCTCAAATACAGTATCAACAACCAAATGCGATACAAAGAATTGAAGCTGCCCCATTAATACAGCACCAACAACCAATAACAGTACAAAGAATTGAAGCTGCCCCATCAAATCAAACAAATAGTGTAAATAATACCAATACAGAAGTAAAAGAATTAATATTATTTAATCAACCACAACAGTTATCCTGACTAAAAACACCAGGATTAACTAAAATCAAAATATTACTAAATAAGAAACCCTGTGAAGCTCTTTTTGATAGTGGTTCTACTCATAGCTTCATTAACCAACAAATAAAAGAACAATTGAAATTACAATGGGTAGAACAAGGGGAAATTATTGTTAATCAAGCAACGACAAAAACAACAGCAATTGGAATCGTGAAAATTGAAGTCCAAATTGGGGTTATGATCAGAAATCATTTATTTTATGTGCTACCAATAAACCATGAAGTAATCATAGGAGTCGATGCTATGAAGAAATTTCAAATTTATCGTGATATAAATGGAATTGTATATCAAAAGATAGATAGCAGAAATTACATGGTTGAAACGCACAGAAGAAATGAAATTGAAGTTAAATTAGAAAATGTTGAAATATCCGAAATAGAAGATGAAGATTTAAGAATTCTGATCAGAAAGTATGAAAATGTTTTCGCTAAAGAAAAAGGCGAAATTGGACAAATTAAGGGTGAATATTGTTATATTAACCTGGAAAATTCGATTCCAATAAATTTGAAACCGTATAGAACAACGGTAAAAGATCAAGAAAGAATCGATCAACAAGTAAAAGAATTGTTGAATCGAAATGCAATAAGAAAGTCAACATCGGACTATTCTTTCCCAGTAGTTCTGGTAAATAAGAAAGATGAAGGTGAGAAAACCAGAATGTGTATTGACTATCGAAAACTCAATACAATAACCATCCCGGAAAGATATCCGATGCCATTAATCCAAGATATTGAGAACAAAATGCTTAATGCGGAATTGTTCACAACACTAGATATTTCGTCTGGATTTCATCACATACAAGTGGCAACTGAAGATAAAAGAAAAACTGCATTTGTAACTATGCATGAGCATTACGAATGGAATGTAATGCCGTTTGGATTGAAGAATGCTCCGGCAATTTTTCAGCGCATTGTGTACAATATATTGAAGAAGCATCAGTTAACATCTTTTGCTCATAATTATATTGATGACATAATCGTTTTTTCCAAAGACAAACAACAACATTTGATACATCTGGAAAAGGTTTTTCAAGCATTGTTACAAGAAAATATTAAATTGAAAGAATCCAAATGCCACTTTATGAAGAAATCTGTAGTGTATCTTGGACACGAAATCACGAAGAATTCTGTCTCACCTCTGAACAGCAATATACAATCGATTATTGAATATCCATCACCAACGGATAAAAAGACATTAAGAAGATTCTTAGGGAAAATCAATTTCTATCATCGATTTATCCCAAGTAGAACGAATACATTGAATCCCTTTTATGATTTGCTGAAGAAATCGGCACCATTTATTTGGAAGAAAGAACATGAAGAAGCATTTCAAGTAGTTAAACAAATAATTACTTCAAAGCTTGTATTGAAGATTTTTGATCCAGAAGCCAAAACGATTCTAGTAACAGATGCATCAGACATCGGAATTGGAGCCATCTTAAAACAGGAAAAAGATGGTCAAGAAGAAACAGTGGGGTACTTTTCAAGGAAGTTATTACCATACCAAAAGAATTATGCGGTATCGGAAAAAGAACTACTAGCAATAATTGAAGCAGTAGAATATTGGCACCACAATTTATATGGTCGACATTTTATCATTAGAACAGACCATAAGCCATTAAAGTACCTGAATTCACATAAAAAGACTCATACTAGAATTATGAATTGGGCAATGAGATTGAATCAATACGACTATAGTATAGAATACATAAAAGGTGAAAATAATGTAGAAGCAGATTTCTTATCCAGAAATCCGAATTTTGAAGAACAAAAGAAAGCCGAAGAATCAGAGGTAGAAGAAGAAAAAGTTAATGATGAAGAAATTGAAAATGAAGAAATTGAAATAAATTTAACAAAAATTTTAAAATGGGATTACGATCCAGAGACATACTATTTCTCAAGAAATCCCGATCCAGAAATTAATATCTTATCCTTAAGAAAATTGGAAGAGTTGCACGAACCATTGATGAATAATTTACCAAAAGGATGTATTAAACAAAACAACTTTATCATGAAGACAAATAATGAAAAATCCAGATACTATTTGCCAAAAGAAAATGCAATAGAAGAGATGCAAAGAATCCATGTTGAAAAAGGACATCTCGGAATAATCAAGACATTACTTCATTTTGCAACTAAGTACTATGCGATAAATCAAAATCAATTAGCAACAGATGTTGTAAATGGATGTGAAGTATGCAAAAAAGGCAAAAAGCAGATTAAGAAATTGGGAAAAATTGGTCAAATTGGTCCGGCAACAAAACCATTTGAAATAATACATATTGACACCAAAGGAGGTTTTTCAGATCCAAAGAACAAATTAAGATATTGTCACTTAGCTATTGATATGTTCTCACGATACGTGTGGGCAAAAACATCAGATGGACAGATGGCAAAGGACTTTATCAAATTAATAGATCTGATTAAACTAGATGGTAAACCAGAAACAATAGTAACTGATCGATATGGTGCGTTAAAATCAGAAGCACTGAAACAAAAACTAATATCAGAAAATATAAAACAAATATTCACACCAACAGCCCATCCACAAAGTAACGGCATGGTGGAAAGAATCGGGCAAACTTTAGTAGAAAAATTGCGGTGTAAGAAAATTATTGAACCAACAAGATCTTGGTCTGTTTTAGCAAAACAAGCTATAGAAGAATACAACCTCACCATCCATTGTTCAACAGGTTATACACCAGCATACTTACTAAAAGGTTATGATCCTGAAAAACTATATGAAGGAAAGGATCTAGCAGTAATTAGAGAATTGGCATTTACAAACAGCCAAAATGCTCATAAAGAAGCAATTAAAAGAATAAACAAGAAACAAAAGGCAATGAATTTTATAGAAGGGGATTTGGTATACGCAAACTTGGCTGATGAATTGAATAAAGAAAAACTAGATCCAGTTTTCCAAGGACCGTTCAAAATATGTAAAGTAATATCGGAACGAATGTATGAAATACAACTGCCCAACAGGATTGAACGTGTTCACATCGGAAAGTTGAAGCCTTACCATCCACCTATCCAACTATAAAAGTGAAAGTGAAAGTGAAAGTGATCAACAATAGTGATTTTTGTTTTTGTTTTTGTTTATTTTCTTTTAGAATCAACAAAAGTGAATATTTTAAATATTGTGAATAAAACAAAGTGAAGTGACATCAAAATGAATTCCAACAACGTAATTGTAATCATCATTATGACATTAATTAAAATTATTGGAAACAACGCAGAAACAGTAGGTTATCCTATTGTATGGAGAAAATCATCTCACGATATAGCAAAAGAAATCGTGCAAGGAGAATTTCATATCCATTTGATAAATCCATGTGATGTAATTGAAGACCTAAAGAATACCAACAAAAACGCTAGCTTCTTGGAGAAGTTTGATCGGCTCCGATGTTCAGCATTGTACATAAAGCAAGTCAAAAGACCATTGAAGAGATATTGCAAGGAAGTACATGTTGACGATGAAAGTCATGAAATTACAAAAAGAGGAGTAATCAGTATTGCATACAATACAGTAAAAGTGATTATTTCCGTTCTTGCTGTAATTGGACTGGTTAACATTTTCGGTTCCCACAATGATGGATATGATCCTGAATTGGGTAAGTTGGAACTTGAAATTAATCAAAAAATGTTTGGAGTCATCAGGAAACTTCATGACGAACTATATGAAGTAAGATCTGAATTGGAAGCTGAAAGAGTCATGACTATGTTAAGCATTAAATTCAGTGAATCGGAAAAATTGATTCACCAAATTTTTGACTCTGAGAATCCACGATTTGCGAATGCATTGGAATCTTTGTTCCCAGGAATTACTATGGGACCAAATACGCCGAAGAAATACTGGCATATGGAAAGTTGTCTCATAAAACAAAATGGAATAAAGACAAAATTGATTATCAACATAAATGGCATAAGGACGGATCAAGATTACACCTTATTAAGAGCTGATCCATTTTACCTAGCAGTTCTAGAACCGAAAAATTTGACGGGACATGAGGAAATTTGTCTAACGAAATATAACGGACCTCAATATGTGGTATATCAGGAAAAAACTGGTTGCTCAGCAGAAATCGTGTTTGATCCAATAGAGGAGCATCAAACACCATTTGTATTTCATTCACCAACTTGCCGACGGGCAATGAAATCTGTGGTGAATCAATGGAAGAAAACAAAGTGCATGCAATCAGATAAAATTATACCAGAGGAAATTGTCCAAGTAAAGATGGACAATGAATTTGTATATTATTACTGCTATACCCAGAATACCACCATAATGGGTATTGAAGAAAAATGCCAGAACAAAATTTATAAAGTGAAGAAAGGCAAGAATATCACCATAAATCATGAGGTGATAAAATTCCACAAGGTCAGGATGGAATTATTTACGAATATTGATACGGACCTCACTGATGCAATTAACAGCAAAATTTTCCGCCAAAATGACGTGGAAATTGCTCTGAATCATCTAGAGAAAATGATAGAGCAAGAGGATCAACTAGTGGCGAAAATCACTAGTTCGTATTTACGATATTATTTGATCTGGACTACTGCAATTGTAATAACTATAGCATTAATTATTGCAATATGTTATATTTGTTATCAAAAGAAGAAGTCTGTAAAATATCGTGAAAAACGTCGGGAAAGGCTGGAGAGTGCATTGCGAAGTGAGAGGATTGCAATGACAGCAGTATAGATGAATGCTGTGAAAAAAAAAAAAAAAAAAAAAATGAATTCAGAGGGGGTGAAATGTCAATGCAGAAAACATGGGAATCTGTTGGAATGACATATTAAAACGAACACACCACTCTAGAAAATCCATCATTATCGAATAAAAATCAATATCAACAAGATCATTGATATTCAACAACGACAAATTTACAATTATGAAAATGAAAATTGTATTGATAAATACTTTGATTGTAATCGGAGTTGTGTTAGCACAACTTACTGATGAAGATATACTTTATCAGTGGAATCAAAAGAAGACAAAATCAACTTCATCAACAACAACAGCAACAACTAAAACAAATGGAAAACCAACAATCATGGCAGTAAAACCAAAAATAAAGGTATTGAATCCAGAAAAATCGATTACTAAAATTGCAACAACAACAATGGCTAACAAACCAACAACAACAATGGCTAATAAACCAACAATTGCTAATAAACCGGTAACAAAATTGGTTAAAAATCCAACAACCACAGAAAAGGTAATTCCGACCATCTACGAGATACCACCGATAGAGGAATGGTCTCCAAAGATGTTTTCTGAAAACTACCAACCTGAAGAAGAAGAAGATGAGGAACCAATCATCGCGAAGGATAAAGTTCCAACATTCATTCAAACGCAAATTGAAATTCCGGTAAAAGAAATGCATCAACCATCAAAAATTCCAAAAAACAAAGATGATGTTGAAATGGTATTAAATGAAGATAAAAATCATGATCAAAAATTTAACGAAACAAATTGTAATTCCACATCAATTCCGGCTATAATATACAGCTACTACCAAGTAAAAGAACATCAGCAAAAGCTGTTAATTAATGTTATTGAAACCGTTGGGGTAAATTTCATCATAATAATGTGTTATTTTATCTGCAAAAAATTTGTAGAAAAATACAAACAAAAAATAAATGAACCAGTATATCCGATACAGGAAAATCTGGAATTGACACCACAACCAACAGAACCGGCACAAGAAGTGGAAACACCACGACTAATTCAAGTTTAACATAAATTAAACAATTATTTTCCATTTAATCAATCATTAATTTTTTATTATTTATCATAATTTTAATCATAATCAAACATTATCAATCTTTATTTTGAATTAAACATTTAAACATTATCAATATCATAATCATAATAATCATAATAATAATTAAACAAAAGAAACATATAAATATCCAAAATTTTTATAATCTAATTGTATAATTAAACTTTAATAATAAAATTTATTCATTTTTGTGTAAATATTAGGAATGAAATTACTTGTAACTCAAAAAAATTAAACCAATGTAAAGAAAAGAAATTTCTAGGGAAAAACGCGACAACAAGTCGCCAAACACAAAAACCTCGTGTTGCAGACAAAACATGAGAGAGAGAAAAAAAAAAAAAAAAGAAAAAAAAAAAAACTATAATCACACACACATTAAAAAAAAAAAAAAAAACACCAAAATGTCAAAAAAAAAAAAAAAAAAAATTAATTTTTTTTTTTTT